ATGGCCTGAGGAGAGGTTGAGGAAAGAGTTCTTAGGGAAGGAAATTTCTGAACTGCATTTGGAGGATGGTTATGAGATAACCAGTCAAAGATATGTTGAGAGGAGGCCATCAAGGAGAGGAGTCAGTAGGAATAAAGACACTGGGACACAACATGGCCAGGTGCAGGTGGAACACTGCCAATTTGTGGTGTTGGAGGGACCATCAAGTTTGAGACAAGAGATGAGGCCAGAGAGAGTAACAAAGCCTTATGGAGTGGGAAGTTTATGAAAAGTAATGGAATTTGGATGTTATGCTATAGGTGATATTGATTCAGTGTCAATATCACCTACAGCATAAGCTGGGGGTGGGGATGTGGTAAGATTCTCTCCAGTCTCTTCGATGCCAGCCCTGGTCAATTGCTCCTTTAGCTGAGTAGATATCTTGGCTTTAGGAAACTATCAACACTCTAGAACCCCTGGACTTAAGTTGGGGATGGGGATGTGGTAAGATTGGCATTCCAGATAAAATCACTCCCTGGCCTTGTGAAGAACAGAGTGGGAGGATAAGACTAAAATCAGGGAAACCAGTTAAAAGACAGTTGCTATGGCACTGGAAAGAAATAAAGAAAACTTGGACTAGAACAGTTGTAGAAGTGATGGAAGGAAGAGGGCTGATTTAAGCTTGACTTGGGAGAGGAACTTGGCAAGATTTGGTGGTTAATTGGATTTGGGATATAAGGGAGAGATAGACAAGAGGTTAATAAAAACATCCTCAGAAAATAGAGAAGAGAGAAGAAAGGCCAGATTTAGGGGAATGTACTGAGTTCATATTAGACATCTGGAGTTTGAGGTATACCTGATTCATTCGAGAGATGTCCAACAAGTAGTTGAAGATACGTTTGAAGTTTGGTGGAGATGAGAAGAGGGCTGGGATGAGAAGTATACAATTTGTGCTCATAAACTTTAAAGTAGTGGTAGAAACCACAATAGTGGGAAAAATCGCCAGGGTAAGTTTGTAGTGTGAAATGGGCAGTGGCTGGCCTCACCCCCTGGGAAATACTAACATGTAAGTAAGGAGCTGGCAGAGGAAGGTGAACTCATACCAAAAAAAAAAAAAAAAAAAAAAAAGACTGGGAAGGACCATCAGAGCATGTTGGGAGTGCTGAGAGGACCAGCACTGCTCACCTGTGGCTTCCTCAGGACCAGCTTTTCCCTGACCTCCTGACTATTCCAAGTCTGGACTGTTGTCCTTTTAATAAATCCTTTGTGTTAGTCCTTCAGAGAATCTACTGTAATTGTACATTAAAACCTAATTGTGTTATTATTTAATGTCTATCTCTATTGCTGACTGGGAATGGATTTCTCTTATTCCTCAGGGAATCTCCAGAGCCTAGCAAGTGCCTGACAATTAGCTGCTCAATATGTGTTTGTGAAATTAAAGAATAGTGTTCCAAACCTCCAGAAGGTAGAGAGTTCTTTTAAAATGTCACTTTAAATAATCAAATTAGAATCTGTATAGTGTTCAATTCAAAGTATAAAATAATGCCCATTGAATATTTTTAGTATTTCCTATGTAAAATAAATTTAATTTCTGTCAGTTTTTAAGTCAATGAACAATTCCTACTTCTTCTGGATATGACTTAAGGCCTTCAAATACTTGTAGAGTGGAGAGAGGCAAGCTAACAACAGTCTTAGTATTTATTATTTTGAATACTGTGTAGCTAAGTGTCATTGCTCCCCAAACTTCTACCTATTCCCCAAAGCGCCAGGGAACAGATGGACAAAGGGCATTATAAAATTTACCTGGTCATTCAACCATGGATACAAATTATCATGTAAATATGGTCACTGTGTAGAATTTCCTTTAGGAAATACTTTTGTAAAATAAATTGTAAGAAAATACATTGAATTAAGAAATTACATATTTTCGATGTGCAAATCCTCACATACAGTCATGTACCTCATAATGATGGTTCAGTTGTCCATGTAAGAACATCCAAACCTAGAGAAAATTTTATAGGAGTTTATCTCAGCCAAACTGAGCACCTGGAATAATGCCTGTCATATATTAAATACTAGAAATCTCTTTAATTGAATAAAAGGTAAAATGGAGAGATATATGAGGGAGGACCCAAAAAACCCCAGAATTTTCTTCTGGAGGGTGGGCCCCTTATTGTACAGCCTTCCCCCTCTAGGTGACTGTTGTAGGAACCCATCTGTATCAGTGTACCAGCTGGCATTGTTGTGAGAGGCTGTGTTCAGCATCAGTAAATTTTTTTGAAGGCTCTTGACACGTTTGCCCATTTCATCCTGGGTGATTTACGACACACCTGCCCATACCGTGCTGAGCAGTTCGTAGTTTTGGACCAGAAATGGCATGCCCTGAGCAACTTTCTTTTTAATTTCCCCAGAGGAAAAAAAGCCCTCAAAGGGAAAGTTTTTGCCAATGTGAAAGAGGTAAAACAAAAAACAGCAGAAGCACTAAAAGGCATCAAAATTGACAACTTCAAAAACTATGTTGAGCAGTGGAAAAAACGTCTCAATAGGTGTGTTGCATCAAATGGAGAGTACTTCAAAGGTGACTGAAGTTTAAACATGTAAGAATAAACACACAATTTTTTAGAAATAAATGCCAGTTTTGGGGGGGTCCCCCCTGGTGCTTCTTTCACATTGCAGAATCCAGGACAACTAAATTTTAACACAGTAAATAAAGATATACAGGCAGTAAGATCATGTGTTCCCTTGAGGGTGGCTATGCCTCCCAGGGGTCTGAAAAAGAGGATTACTTTTGTACTTTTAGATCTATGCCATCTAGATCTGTGTAAGTGCATTCTCTGGTATCCGCACAACAACGAAATGGCCTAATGACATATTTCTCAGAATGTATCCCCCATTGTTAAGCAGCGCATGACTGCATATATTTGTATATTACATGTTATAATTTATTAAAATGCTAATGTTAAATGTCAAACCTCTTATAAATAAATTTAAATAATTTTATCAATATTTGTGAAAGGCCTCATTTGTAGGCATTGAGGCTAATGCAGGAAAAAAACCCAGGTGTGAAAATGTCAGTCTCTACGTTTGAACACACATATTTTAGAGATTTTGGTCTTTGTCTTCCTCTTTTTTTCCCCTTCAGCCTCAAATTCTTACCCAGCTGCAGATGTATGCTTGAGATGTTTGCATAAAGGAATAAAACCCCCAAATCTACAGTGATATTTACCATGAAAATGCCCTGGGAGACATAGTACAATTCACATGTGCACCAAGTTTTAAAACATATATATGATATATATGTGTATATATGTGGTCACAGACATCACATACATATGTGATTTTGGGCCAAAAATGGCATGCCCTGAGCAACTTTCTTTTTAATTTCCCCAGAGGAAAAAAAGTTCTCAAAGGGAAATTTTTTGCCAATGTGGAAGAGGTTAAACAAAAATCGACAGAAGCACTAAAGGGCATCAAAATCAACTTCAAAAACTGTTTTGAGCAGTGGAAAAAATGTCTCAATAGGTGTATTGCATCAAATGGAGAGTACTTTGAAGGTACACATATCACACATATATATCATATGTGATATATATAGCACTAGTATACAGCCTTAAAGAGAATTTTCTGACGCAAGAGAAAGCACTTAAGGGACTCAGCAGGGAATGCACATTGTTTCTTTGTGGTCAGGCCCACTGGCTAGAGGGCAGACGGCAGCATCTCTGCCTCTGAAGATTTTGAATGCTTTCTTTTAGCAGGCAGAGCCTCAATTTCCTCGTCTGAAAATGAGGATCATAATAATACTTAATTTAAAAAAAGAAAACAAAAATAATAGTTCTTAATTCATAGTGGTGTTTAGAGTGTAAATGAGTTAAAATGTGTAAAGCACTTGGAACAATGCCTATCATATTAAGCGCAGTAAAGTATTACCTGCTATCGTTAGTTTTAACCTAGACCATGGAATTGTGTACAGACTTTTCTGTCACCCATTTCCCAGAACCACTGGCAAACACCACCCCCCAACCCCCAGCCTTGAGAATGTTTACAATGCAGACCCTTTATTGCTGGATCTGGTTTGCTCTACACCCATCTGCAGTTCCTAGGTTTGCAATTGATTCAGGTGGTAGGTTTGTTTTGTTTTGTTTTGTTTTGTCCTACATGTACAGCCTGCAGTTCTTTCTCCCAGTACTTGTACACCCTGGTTAAATCACTGAACACCACCAACTACAAACTTACATAACTGCATTGAGGGCATTTCATGTAGGAGTTTGCTTAGAACCCTCTTAGTTGCCCAAGGAAACAAGCTGGTGATGTCACAGGGTATCACACCTTTAGCTCTCTCTCAGGTCCCTCTGTCCAGCTTGAGGCAGGGCTCTAGTCTGCAAGCTCTGCACAGCCTGAGCACTTTCTTGTCCTCTCCAAGGCCATGCAGAGATCCTCACTCTCTCCCAGCAATGTCTAAACTCAGGTATGTTGAGGTCAGGACCACACACTTCTTCCTGTGCTCCTTTGGCCACAGAACACTTGTTATGCTTCTTCCCTCCCAGGGTATAGAAACACTTAGGTAAATAAAGTGTCTGGGACAGCCCTGGATAGCCCTTGGTTTTCTAGGTTATAGGTACAAAACTAACACAAAACAAAACAAGGCAAAACAAAACAAGACAAGACAAGACAAAACAAAACCTTGGAACTGCTCCCTGGAGGTCCAAGGTTGTTTCAGATTTTTTGGGGCAACAGAAACCCCAGGAGCAAGATTACAACACCCTTTCCCTTTATACTTACCTCCCTCCATGTCCTAAATATGCCCACAATCTCTCCCTCCTGGTTTATCATCCTGCTCCTCATTCTCTCAAGAGATACTGTGATTTCCTTGTTCTGCTCAAATGAAGAGGAAAGAATGGAGAATGCAGCCATAAGAGTATTCCATCAGTTTAGTGGCATTTCATAAGAAGGTTACTTAACCGTACACTCATCCCAGCCTGCAAGGGCAAAGTGCAGCTCTTGCAGGGACCTCTGCCTTTAGGCAAATCTGCAGATTACCTATTATCTAAATAGGACAACTGAAGACAAACAGTAATCCTATCACCAAAGTACACAGGAAGGAAGCATATAAGGGGAGCAAAATTCAATCTCGTTGAACTCTCACTACCAGAGGGGTGTGTTTTACAGCTCTGCAGACTGCTGTAGGGCCTTGGCTCCTACCTAACCGAAGGACGCCAGAGGAAAGCCACCAAAGTTCTCCTTTGGTCACAGCGAGCCATGACGAGGACTTCTACAAGCATATACCACTTCCTTGTTTTGAACTGGTATATTTTTCTCAATTATTACATCTCACAAGAAGAAAAGGATAAGGAGAAATCCGAACTCTTTCAAAATGGTGGACGGTGGAAGTACTTGACATTTCTTAATGTGGTAAGTTCATGTGAGCATCTCAGGAAGCAATCAATTTGTCTGTAATAGTGGATCTTTTACATATATCACCTTTAAGTTTTGTTAAATACAAAATTCCATTGTTTCTATTCCTTCTTTATGGTTTTTGAGTTTCAGCTTTCTCTTTTACCTAACAATTTGCTCTGAGAAGCCCAGTTTAGAAGTTATTCATAGATACCTTTCGAGCTTGCTAATTGTTAAATACTTTTTTTGAAAATCTTATGTTGGGGCTCTTCTCAGTTGATCTCAAGTGCAGGGACTAAATTAATGTTTTTCACCATGAGATTGACTACAAATGCAGATGGGATTTTGAACTTGGCTTGGGGAAATCTGTGAGGAAGGCAGAATGGTATATATTGTGTAGAAAGTGTAATATATAATGGGGGAATAATGCCATTTTAAAGTACACACAGACTAACAGATTTATCTGAGAAAAGCAAATATATTTTGTCATGTGCAGATCCCACTTCAATTCATTATAGGCTCAAGAGTCTCCACCTTAAAGGACGAAATCATCCAACCAAATGGCAAATGCAGATTTTCAACTATATTTACAAATCAACCTTATGACTTGATCCCTTCTTGTCTTTCTAACCCTGATGACCACATTCTAATGAAAGAAGCATGAATGAATGGGAGAAAAACAGATTTAAAAAATATTTTGGGAAAAAAATAAACATTTTTAGAGTTAAAAACTAAAAGTGGCACATCCTTTCGGGATTCTAATTAACATTTGATATTTTTAACTAAAATTTAGAGTGCCAATATCAACATCTGATTTCAGAAACTGGACAAAATATTCCAATCCTTTGGAATCACACTGCTAAGCAGAGATTATGTGCATGGTCAGAAAAAGTCACCCTCCCAAAGGGTTTGAAACTCAGAAAGTTCAAGTCAAACAAGCCTGGATGTTCTGCTTCTTTTTCTCTGGTCACTTGCTGGCCTTCGATTTTGAACTGAAAAATCTGAGGCTTGGACACAGCTTTAGTGTGCTGGAAAATATCAAGATGATGATTTATTTCAATTGTAGAATTTTATAGGGGTAAAAAAAAAACCCAGAAAACAACAAGAAATGCTTTAGTGGAGCTAGAATAATATAGTAAAAATCTCAGCTTTGTATATTTGTTGGCTTTATATTAAAAATGATCAATGAAAAGAAAGCTGTGTCTGTAGTCAGGATTAATAGCCTAAACAAATTTAAATTCCAGTGTCCCCTCACACTAAGTATGGCTAAGAACAGATTTATCATTTACTCCCACAAACCAGCTCTCTGACTTCTTAATTCTACCTCAGCTCCATGACCCAGAGCTCCCACATTTCTAAAAATGGAAAAAAGCACTTATTTTGTCAGACATTGTTATTTTCTAATGTTAATCCCTTTTTGCTTCCTTAACTATTTATCCACTAAATCCTACGTTTTTCCATTTGCTAGGTACATCCCATATTCCCTAATCTTACTGTGTCTCTCATTATGCGCTCTAATTAATTTTAACCTGGATGACCAGATCATCTTATTGTCCTCTCATTATCAACCCATCCATCTACCACTCAGATTCTAGATTAATCTTTCCAAAGCACTGTTTTTGGTTTGGTTTGGTTTGGTTTGGTTTGGTTTGGTTTGGTTTGGTTTTAAACATCATAAGCCTGCTTGAGAAGTGTGGTCTGCTACTCCAGAAACTAAGTGGCTTCCTTGTACCTTATGGAACCCATTCCAAACCCCTGGTTTAAAAGCTAACCACCTAGCCTTCAGGTTGCGCTCTCCCCAGGAAGGCTAGTCTCTTCTCCAGGAAAGCCTGTGTCTTCTCCAGTGTTGGTCCCTAGGTTTCTTGCTGTAACTACTCAACCCACGTTCACCCTGTCCTTGAATGAAAGGCTTACCTGCCTCCCCCTACTCTATTTGCATATATCACCTGAAATCCCATACTCTCCTTAAAATTCTGCTGACCAACTCCTGCTCCAGTTTGGTTTTCCTTTCCCTAAGTTTTCACAGCATCTCTCAGTGTCTCCTTATTTATGTGTAGTACTGTTGTCTAATTTCCACCCACATGTGAGTCAAAATATTCCAATCAGATTGTAAATGGCTCCAAAAAACAGGAATTTTGCCCGTTAGGTCCTTGCTGGTCCTAATGGTCTATGATTCTAAGTTGTATTTGTACAATTGCTGGCACAGAGTAACCCTATAATAAAAACTGGTTGACTTTGGTATGTTGACTGAACTTGACCTTAGCTTTTTCTGCATTTCTGAACAATTAGTCTCTTCTGACATCTTCTGGCCCTTGAAATGAGCAGGGAGGAACTTACCTGTAGCTATTTCCTTTTTTAGCTTTGTTAGGTGTCATCTGGCAAGTGTGATAATGCAAAGTTTTTCAATTGGTGAAGATGGATTGAATATATTTCAGAGGATTAATTTAAGAATATATTTCAAATATGTTACTTAAGGTAAAATGTTGGGCCTTAACATTTCTAGCTCTTGAGACCTCATGCTGATTAATGGTTATCTTTCCTAATGATTAATTAGTTAAATGGTTGTGCTTATAAAGTTATAGAGGTCTCAAAACTTCCTATAACATTTTAAAATTTATTTTACGTAAGCTTGTTGAAGTCTGTACCTGGTCTTGCTTTCCAGGAAATTTACACCCCTCTCCTTTAAACAGCTTTAATTTCAAGAGGGCTGAATATCAGTTATCCTCTCTTTTAAGAGTAAAGTCCACCTTAGTGGAAGTCAATGTTCTGAATGTGCCTCATTTCCTCCTAAAGCTATCCCAGGGGATTCAAAGGGAAGAAACACAGGACTGGTAGCAAGGGGTGGGGTGGAGTAGGGCGAGGTGTGAGGGGGTGCCACTGAGAAGTGGTCGTGGTGACCAGTTCGTTCTTAATGCCTAAGGGAGAGACTGTGTTGCCTAGAGGTTACAAGCAGAGCTTTTGGGTCATGAGCTCTCTGGGATGGTACTTTTGTTTTACCACCTACTGGCTCTGTGACCTGGAACTAGGTATTCCTTTGTGTCCTCCATTTCCAAATCTATCAAACAGGAATAAAAGTAGTTCCGCCCTGGTTTGTGTGGCTCAGTGTACCGAGCACCAGTCTGCGAACCAAAGGGTTGCTGATTTGATTCCCCGTCAGAGCACACGCCCGGGTTGCCAGCCAGGCTCCCAGTTGGGGGCATGCAAGAGGCAATGGATTGATGTTGCTTTCCTCTCTTTCTCCCTCCCTTCCCCTTTCTCTAAAAATGTATAAATAAAATATTTTTAAAAATTAGTTCATAAACACAGAGTGACCATGAGGGATAAATAACTTGGCATGTGGGAAGCACCCAGAATGGCCCAGGGGTGTCCAACCTGCGATGAATGCAGCCCAACACAAAATAATAAATTTACTTAAAAGGTGAAATTTTTTTTGTGATTACATGTTGCAATGTATTTAATGTGTGGCCCAAGACAACTCTTCTTCCACTGTGGCCCAGAGACGCCAAAAGTTTGAACACCCCTAAAGCTGTCGACAAGGAAAAGAGGATGGGAGAGAGGTGGTGAGCTTCTAGTCATTCCATCTTTGGGTAGCAGTGGTACAGTGGTTTAATGGTACATGGGTCTCCTCACTGAGCACTATGGTTGGTGGGTCGTTTTTCCTGGCAGGGGTCCCCCACCCTACTCATTGCTTACTATCTCCCTCTGCAGCGTACAGGCTCCAGTGTCCTATGGAGTCATTGCCTTTCCTGCAATAGTTGCCCAGGTGGATGCCCTCAGCACTAGGAGAGTCCTGGAGGTCAAATTCACAGGCTCAGAGAGACAGTACTGAGCAGTGCTAAATGGGGAATCCCACAGAGCTGGGTGTGGAAACAAGGCAGTGCTGTGGACATCCTCAGGGTGCACATGTTGTCTCAGGATTCCCATGCCTCAGTCTTCCACCAATGTCCTGTCTCAGTGACTGTCTCAAACCCCAGAAGGCAAGCTGTAGAAGGGGAGTGGCAGAGTTCATAGCTTTCTGGGTTTTCCTCTTTTAATAAATAATTGTCCTTATGAAGTGTTGTTAGGGATGATGCTACGTAATTGGACTCTCCAGGGTGATTCCGAGTGGGCCCCTCCCCACTCCCCCACACCACTTCACCAACAGAGGCATGACTTTCCCTCCTCTCTTCATTAATATGCCCAAACCTCAGGCAGCACTGACCTCATTATCCTGAAGCTCTCAGGGTGACCACCGTGACCTCCTCATACAGATCCTCAGGGATGGCAAAGCAGGGTCTAGGGAAGAGAGACCCTTGAGGATGTTCCATTGTTCTGAACTCCAAGGCAGCCCATGAACAGTGAGAAGACAAGGATCCATTTATGTTACAGCACCCAGTTCAATACTTGGGGCTAACCTTTAAAGTCCATCATCAGGTTAATATATTAATCTATGGAATTCTTAAACACAACAGAGTCAGAAATACACTTAACTATTTTACAAAAATACATAAGGCCACTTTTTTCAGCTCTCAGAAAGCTGAAGGGATGAGGGCTGATAGAAGGGAATAGTCACCACCAACATTCAAAATAAAATAGCCATAATTTACTGAGTAACCATGGGAACATGTTGGTAGGCCTTTTACATACAGTGTACAAATGAGTGATTGAAGGCTTAGCTTCTGGAGTCAGACTCCCTGGGTGTGAATGCTGGCTCTGCCATTCATTTGCTGTGGGATCTTGAGTGAGTTGCTTAACTTCTCTCTTCCTCAGTTTCTTCATATGTAGTGGATTCTGTGGGGTGGCACTCAGATCCCCCCACCTCCCTGGCATTGAGGTACTTATCCCTCAGCTTTTGGGAGAAGTATTGGCTGCTGATGAGTCACAGCTGAGCACCTATCCCAGAAACGGCCTCAGCAGAAGGGAGCTGCCTAGATCAAGGCTGAGGGACCTCCCTGGGGTTGTTGTATCCAATGACTGGTTGATTTGGGGTACAAAGGCCACACTCCTGGTCAACTCTGAAGGACCCACTCAACTCCAGG